TATATATATATATACCTATTTATTCAGGTTTTAAAAAAGCTTTGCCTAATTTATGCTTCCCAAAAACATAAAAACTTTCTGACAGGAAGTACAGGTGTTCTGACAGGAAGTCTATTGTTTCTATACAAATTCTGTCTTGCGTCATCTTTTTCAAACCCTACAAAGGTTGGTCGGCTGCATATTATGTAACTGCTGTGCAATAAAACAGTTAAATTGAAGGGTTTTGGGTGGTGTTTTCTAATGTTGGGATTGAGACTACATGTAGATCACAAAACTAGGCTAGTTGGAGCCTCTGTGGTGGTTTTAGAAAAATAAACAAATTTTTACAATATTTACTCCTAATATATATTTTATTATAATTGTTGCAAATGATGTAAAACAGCCATAAATAATAAAAGCGGTATTTGTGATATTTTTGTGGCGATTTTTTTCATTGAAATATGTATGAGCGTATGGGGGTGGGGCTTAGCCTGCCCGGAAGTATTCTTGAAGGAAAAGGGGTGAGTCGATTTTGCACACCGGCTTACACCGGAATGTCTTCGAGCGCCTAGATTTCTGGTAAGTAATCTATTTTCGAGCCATTACTGCTAGACACACTATGCTCATGTCCTCATCTTTTATATGCGAACTAGGTGGGGAAAAACATCTCTGCCCAACTATATTTAAGACAAGATTTGTGTTATTTCCGCTACTATGGTAATCTTGAAGTTATCCTGGAGTTAATAACGAGCGCCACTTTTATAAGGAAGTGCAGTTTTTATGTTTCATTTGTTGTTATCTTATCACAAATCGGTCGTTATACACAGGGACTAAAATATTAAATGTTATTTTATTTTCTAAGACGCTTATTTTCGACTTAGCTGCACTTCCTTGTTATCAGCGAACATAAAGTGAAACTGCGTCGTACTTAAAACCTATCATGTAGGCGTTTTCTTAGCCAGGCTCCGAGGGTCGTCTCGATATATCATGTGAAGGTTTAGTCCGTCCCACTTGTCCATATCTTTCAGGCCCGGGTTTCTCACAGACATGAGGAGGACAACCAGAGCTATGGGTGCAACAAACAGCTCCTACTCAACACAGAAAGCCTCTTCAGCCTCCCAGTCAAGTGGGCCTGTAAGTTCAGACACACGCATCTAACAAGACTGCAGCTAATTCTGTATTTTTATTTTATTTTTTTAGTTTAATGTTCCTATTTCACGTTTTGACAAATCAGGTCATAGTATGGGTTTAGCCACATGTGTTAAAGTCATRTTAAACCTGAGAAGTACCAAAGCATGGTAAGTATTTACAGTCAAGACTGGTGATTCATTCATGACTGTTGTTGATAAAGGGACTTCCAGGAGTTAATTTCTTCCCTGCAATCTGAAGCATAAAGGTCATTTTACTATGACAGAACCAAAACTGAGAGTTAGCAGGGGGGAAAGCTTTGGTTTCTACAGAAAGTGTAGAACTACCACCAGATAATGTTTTTTTTTTTTTTTTTTTTTTTTTTTAAGATTTTGTATTCTCTTCCAATAGTTTCCAGTTTGTAGGGATGTGGATACATTTTTAATCTTACACCAATATTAAATCTGACAGCGGATTCCAAAAGAACATTACAAACCATACAAAATAACWCCAAAATCACGTGATTATCTCAAGWATGAAGTAAGTGATTGATGTTTGTTCAGGTGAAATCAGCTCATGTTTTCTTGCTGCAGTTCACAGCAGAACCAATGAGGCCTTTGTGAYCATTTCACCTTCCTGTTTTCTATTTTTGCTCATAACCTACTTAGTGTTCAACATATTGCCATTAAATTGTAGGAAAAGATTCACATTCTGGTTTTTGTAGGAAGCATCTTGTATCCTAAAAAACTAATAAAACTTAATAATAGCCAATTCAAAAGTAGCAGAAAAGGCATAAAATAATATTACAAGGCAAACTGCAGCATCAAATCAACTTAATGTGTCTTAGAAAGTAAGGAAATTAAAACAATTTAAAAACCACGTAGGACGTGTGTTTTGTAAACGAAGCTCCTTAAAGAATGACAATGCGTTAAATGTGTCAAGYGACGAAGACGTCGAGCGTCAACACAATTTGCTAACAAGCGCTATTCAGGATAAAAAAAATATATACTTCGACCTTTCAAATCATTATCAAATTTGGATCAAGGGCAGATAAAATAATGTTCTTCACRGCAGCTTATCTCTTTAAGGGGTCCCTAGAAAAACTCGGGTGATTTACTTTGATCCTCTTTTCAAAGAAATTGTCTCTTCAAAAAGCATCACTAAAAACTGGAAGACGAGGCTGTCGCTAACTACCTGACGTCAGCACGCTTTGTTGAATGTTGTAGAAATAATGAAGTAGGAAGAAATAACAAGGAAACGCACCGAACAGCCTTGCAAAGTGTGGTCACGGCAGTTTGGGAAGAAAGTGGCAGCCGCTGCTGACGAAATGTCAACATCCCTACAGCTTGCGTGATTCTGGCAAATTGTTGACAGAGTCCAGAAACCGTGCAGCTGTGTAATCTCTATTGATCATTAATCTAATGCCAGTGATGAGCACTGATTTGTTTTTTATTTATTTATTTGTTCAAAGCTTCATCTCATTAGTTTGCTTTGTGTTTTTGTCAGGCCTGTGCTCTGCCKCTGGACATCCTGGAGGAAATTTTCCTCAATCTGCCGGCTCATCGAGTGGTGTGTGTGTGTCGCCTGGTGTGTCATCAGTGGAAAGAAGTCGCCGACAGAGAGTCCTTCTGGAGAGAAAGGTGTAGAAGAGAGGGCTATCACGTCCACGATGCCTCCAAACTCCCCATTGGGTGGCGGTTGTTTTACTTCTTGTGCAAGAGAAGAAGAAACCTCCTCAAGAATCCACGGGGAGAAGGTGAAAAGGCAGAACAATTTACAGAAGGTAAACTGCCATTGCCTTTTTGTTAAGGAATAATAATTTCTCTCATCTCATTTGTTAGATGAGTTTCGAGGTTGGACCATCCTACAGAACGGTGGTGACAGGTGGAAAATTGAGGAACCTATGGAGGCACATCCAAACGAGGCAGTTCGGAAGAACTTTGTGACCTCTTATGGGTGAGTAATAATGAGCAGTGATCCAGACAGAACTCTAGATGTCTGCCATGGTTAAAACGTCAAATTGACTTCAGTTATTATGTTTTCGGCCATTTTTAGACACATTTGGCTCAAATTTAGGGATTGTKGTAGATCACAGGGATTTCCAACAAACATATTCAAATCTTTATTGGATGTAGGGCTGCAACTAACGATTATTTTAATAATCGATTAATCTGTCGATTATTTTTTTCGATTAATCGGCCAAATCATTAAAACACTTAATTACATGAATATAAGTAGATATAAATTAAGTTAACTCCTTTAGGATGCAAGTTATTGATTAATGAATTAATCTGAAGTTGATTTATCTTATAGATTGATTAACAATTAATTGATAAGCAGCCATTTTCTTAAAAACCGGAGTTTTCTCTTGAATCAAGAGGGTCTTTTCATAAAATGAAGGATTTTTTTATAATCTCCCGAATTAAAAAAACAGAAGCACATAATACATATTTTAACAATTTATTTTGCGTTTTGCTGCTCAACATATAACTTTGAGCCTCAGTCAGAGAAAAATGGAGAGTTTTTATACTTTTGTCCTGAGAGGAGGACGAAACGGTGGATTTAGGTGCCCCCCTCCCCCTCACGAATTTCCTCCTCGCGACGCGGCGCGCATCAAATCAGACCGTCTTTTAAAAAGAATGAATGTGTCGTATACTTTTTATCATATCTTTGAATCTGCTTGGTCTAACAACACGATTTAAAAACTGGTTTAAAGTTCGTAGACTCTGCTTTTCACTCGAGAGTCAGAGAGGGCAGCTCTTTACAGGTAGTTGTTTCTTTCTTCCTAAACTTTATTTAGGTCAGCCAGCATTGACAACGCTATGTGGGTGACATAATCGGCTCCGCAACATGGCGAGGCACCCGCAACACAACGAATCGATAATGAAATACGTTGCCAACGCTTTTAATAATCGATTTTTATCAATTTTATCGATTCGTTGTTGCAGCCCTAATTGGATGGCACCTGGCAAGCCCTTTTCATAGTTTCTCCAGGAACTATTCTAGTATAATTTAATGTGCAGCTCTTTGTCTGAGTGCTTAACCTTTTTACTGTTAGTAAGTACATGTGGTGAATTTTATACATGTTTCACGCAATTATTTATCCTTACTGTCTGTATCCTAAACCCTAAATTTCCTGCAGAATGTGCATGAAGTCACAAACAGTTGATTTGGAGAAGGAAGGTTACAACCCAGACTTCATGGATTACTTCCAGCCTCCCATCAGAATATCTGACTGGTGAGAGTTTCCATGTCTGACATGACTCCGATGAATCCCAGAGAGCTTCCATAAAGGGAGCAGTAGGACGTGTTTCTGATGTGTTCGTGTGCCCGTGTTGCGTCAGGTATGCTCCTCGATGGGATTGTGCCAGCGAGTATATGATGACGGTGCAGCTGCTGGATCACAAGAACAAGGTTCTTCAGGAATTTACTCCTGAAACCGTTTACTTCCCACAGTGGAACGATCAGCAGTGGCATCAGGTAATGTGCAAAACATCAAGTTCAGTGGCGTTTTGGAGTCAAAAGAATGGCAGATTGATTGATTTCTGTTCACTGATTAATTATTTTCAGTTGATCCACGTGTTCAAGAACTATGGACCAGGAGTTAGGTTCATCAAATTCAGTCACGGTGGTAAAGATACACAGTTCTGGGCGGGTTGGTATGGTATTCGGGTAACTGACAGCTGTGTGGAAGTATGTGCAGCTTTGGACACGGATAATTGAAGTGATTTCGGATAGATTTAATATATATATGTGTGTGTTATTGTTTCTTACACCTCACAGTGAACTTCCAAATCACTGGAAAAATTTGCTAATCCTGTTTATATTAAAATGACTCTTAAGTGTTTTGTGGTTTCTTTTAAATAAGTCATGGATGTGCAACTTTTTTGTTTTTGTTTTGTTCTTTTTCTAATATTTTTGAAAGGGATTTATTTTTGACATTTGTAAAAACATTTAACCATCTTACCTGGGGGTTATTCCAGAAAGCAGGTTTAGTGAAGACTAAGAGTTAWTTGACCCTGAGTTGAGCAGAACTTTGTGTTTTCCGTCCAGTAAAGGGTAAGTGAAATGGTTTTTTAACCATTGTAACAGACTCTGAAGTAAAACTGCTCATTGGCAGGTTTACTGAAAAAGAAAAACCCTGAGATTCCAGTGAGCCACTCCTGAATTATTCATTTTGAATCAACCCAGCTGATATAGAAACTGAAACATTTCATAGCATCTGATGTTTGAAGAATCCCCCCTCTAGGTCAAATTCATTCATCTCTGCAACATTTAACACCTTAGACCTCATCATGCTGAGATATAAGTTGTAGAAATGTTTTTGCTGAATATGTCCAAAATCAGCCTGAAAAAAATATCAAACCTGTTGTCTCTTCCCATCATTTTATTTAATTTCTATAAATGAAAATTACACATAAAATTGTTGCAAGCTCTTAATTCAATCGTCTGGTATTTAACTTTCTGGAAGTGAAAACTCATGACTTTCTCTGCTCAGGACAATTTAACTGAATTCATTGAACTTCCTTTCTGGAAACACCGCAACTACAACTGTACCAAAGAAATAAGATTTGTTGTGTGTATTTAAACAGTATCTGTGGTGTGTTTAAGTGGACACTGCCGTCCTGCATTCACCTGCTGTTACACACGACTCCAGTCATGTTTGCCTTAAACAGTAAGCTCTACCATTTCCATGTCAAATGATCAAACATTGTGTTCAGGTAAGAAACTAGGCCTATTGAATATGTGTAATTTAATGTATATGTATAATGATTGTAAACATGTTTCTGTAATGGTGGGGTTTTTTTTTTTCAGTCAACAAATGTTGAATTATTTTTGCATTTTATGGACTCTGTTGATTTCATCTCAATAATGTGGTACAACTTTAAACAAGGGGGACTTCCAAGCACTTTSTGTTAAACTGACCTAATATTTTAGATTCTTCTGAGGGATGTTCTTGTTTTCTTGCACATGTGTAACGGTGTATATCCTTCTGGTAAGTCACAGAACATGCAGTAGTTTAAAGCTTTAATCRTAATACTGGTTTATTGTTTATTACAAGATACAGTACAACCATATCAAACTGAATAAAAAGGAAAACACTCCAAGATTTTGCAAGTTAATTTGCTTTCATCCTCTAAACCTTATTAGTAATGCACAAATTTCACAAAGTAAATAAGTTATTCTCACTATATGTACAAATCAGTCCTCCCCCCTCACAGTTGGCATGAATATTGTAAAAAAAAAGGAAACCATTCAGTCATTTTAACAGGTTTTTCTTAAATCCTACAAGACCTGAAACTGTTAATGATGCAACACAAGTGTTCAGGTTTCAGTTCATACACCTGGAGTTAAAAGCAGATGCATCTTTCAGTCAAAATGTAAAACTTGTACTAGATTCTTGCAAACGATCATAACAGGATATTTAAGTAATCTGCTTATTTTAAAACAGCGATTTAAGGCCTAAGCTCAATGCTTACATTGTTATACATCAAATTTTATTAAGACATTTCTCAAATTCTGTAAGGCCTAAAATGTCCCACTGTTCATGTTGTCCTTTCAGGTTCTGTCTTTATAAACTACAGTAGAGTAAAGATGGTGCATCATCCAGAAYGATTAAAGAGCATTAAATACATTTTGAAGCCTATTTTGAAACAAGTCCTTTAAACTCAGGACATGAAGAGTTTTATTGCTACTGTAAAYGCTGACGATGGAAGAACAAATTTGAAATGACCTCTACGAATTACAAAACAATGAGTTTCTAATAAGCTGTCTTTACCAGCTTAGGCTCTACATGGTACTTGGAATACTTGGAATGTGCTTTGTGCAGAGGAAACAAAACATTTCAGTACTGTTAACCWAGATACGGAAAGAAAAATGGTCCGAAGAAAACGAAGAGGAATCTTAGAGCAGAACACATTTACGTCTTTTCTTAGGTTCGGGAGGCTCCAGGGCGGCCAGGATTGCCTCATCAAACACATTCTTTAATCCTTTCTGTGGAAACAAAGTGGCGTTATTCAAAACAAAGCTTTTTCCAAATACATACTGAACATCCACTCCAAGTAGACGCAGAACAAAAGCTGACTAAAAAGCTGAGCAAGGCAATCAAAAAAATTCCTTTATTTAAATAACATTATACAAGAGTGTCCTCGTGATCAAAAAGTCTAATGGCAAAAGCCTACGGGAAAAGTTGAAAGCAGCAGTGAAGGAGGAAAACTAACTGTAACTGTAAGACAGATTGTAGTGGAAAGGATGTCAAATATAACAAATGAGTGCAATACTGAGAAGACAGAATGTTTTAAAACAAAACTGTTACATCAGGAAGGAAAGAAAAGTTCATGATTGGCACTCTCTTAGGCAGCATAGGTAAATGATTAGGTTGAAAAGAAAGCACACGGGAGAAAAACGGTATTGGGCACAGAGTATTAAATGTTAGAGTGCATGGTTACTTCAGTGACAGACATTTCTTTACAATGAAAAAGCAGCAGACGATCGAGAGGCAAAGCAAGTTGCGAGARGACATCAGAACAAGCAGCATTTTCTCTTTCTCTGAGTTTCAGGGGGCTCTAAAGCAGCTAGGATAGCCTCATCAAATACGTTCTTCAATCCCCTCTACAGGAAAGGGAGAAACACAGGTACACACAGAGTTAGATGAAGCTTTTCAGCCAAAAAGCTGTTAGCAAAAGACGAGCCGAAGCACTTCTAGCCCTGCTGTTAGGAGAATATTAATTCCTGTTCTATTAATGTTTAGCTGAGATTCAAAGGGAGACCTTACCTGAGTTAGGGCTGAGCACTCAACATATTTGACTGCCTTCAGGTCACGAGCCAGCTTCTCTGCCGTCTCAGGGGTGATCGGTTTCTGTTTGTTCTTAGCCAGCTTCTCCACGGTGGAGGGGTCGTCACGGAGGTCAATCTGAGTGCCTACAAGCAGGAATGGGGTCTTGGGACAGTGGTGGGTAATTTCAGGGACCCACTAAAGGAGGAAAAAATATATCTTTTACAACCACAGAATCAATGCATGTACTCAAAATATACTTAGCATCAAAAGTAAGAAAATTTGTGTTTGGTAGATTCAAACAAGTGTCAATAACAAATTAAGATGCCTGGCAGAGAAGATTTGGTTATTTTTTTCTTGTGCGCAACCCATATACTCAGCTCTACTGCTCATCCCACAAATGCATGTTCCTCACAAATGTGGCATTATCTCAAAAGGCAATTAAGAGGATTTCCAATAAGTTTTATTACCAAGAAACACTGCTACAGCTAATCTACCAAACACAAACGTCCTTACTTTTTAATCTATGTTGGTAATCTACATTGGGGGCTGCAATCTTTACAGCTTAATGAGCCGTTTCTGTTCCGACTCTCCCCAAGTAAAACTTATCCAGAACCCTAAAGCCTACTAGAGGTTTAATTTATTGTTGACATTAAATGCCAGTTCCACATTTTAGGACAAAAAAAGAAACCTGTTAATAAAATTTCAGTAATGAATAAAAGCAGCTCATGTGAGTCTTGTCTACATAATTGTGGAAAAGTAACAATAATAAAAGCTCTATATTTCTAAGAAACTTTTAGAGTAGTTATGTCAGTTTGTAGGTTAATTAGGACTCAATCTATTGTGCTAAAGCAAGTTATTTACTGCAAAAATTATATTTTTCCACCAAAGGTCAAACCTTTTTTGTTACATTACTACAAAGATGATCTGTTTTGCTAGAACAGTTGTAATGATGGTTGTGTTGTTTTGACAGCCTTGGCTAGCAGTCTTAGTGGGTTCAAATCTCTTTTGTGGTTAAAAAACAAATACCCTCCATTACTTTTCCTTTTTTTTTGTCCCCCACATGTGAAACGAGACCTCTTATTTCCTGTGTGGTAAAGTTTATATTGGGGTTTGACTGCTCCAGAACTGTTGAAGTGCAAATTAATATAAAGAAATTAAAATATAAATTGCATTTCAGACTTAGTATTATGTCAGTCAGAAGAAAATGTGTCCATCAGGACTTTATTATAGTCAAAATGATTGTTTAATGTGATCAAAACTAAAACCAAAACTATTAACTGATGTAATTGTTTTAATACGTTATTTTTTCTAGTTTTACCTCATGATGCTAYATTCCTGCTAATCTACAACCTTTTGCATCAGAATTAAACTGATCTAAAAAAAATCCAAACTCAGTGAATATCTGAGATATCTCATTAACCAAAATATGATCTGGTGTTTTTTCTTCTGTCATTTTGAATACAAAGAGATGTACTTTAAGGTTGCATAAATCTAAGCAACACAGTCCACATTGAGCCTAGCTGTAAAAGCCCCCTTGTCTAATTTGGGCCTGGTTGACATTAATAATGACTTATTGTTTAGACTCATGTGGGCATAATCTAAGACGTAAACACTGTCGTCAGAGCATGTTACAAAAACACGAGKCCTTGAAGTGTTTTTGTTCTGCTCATCTTTTAAGTGTAAGAAGTAATAACTCCACTCAAAGACAGTAATTTTCTTTCATGCAAACTATAATTTTCACTTTTTCTCTAGGTTGAGCAATGCTTAGTCTAAAAAAAGGTATATAATGGTTGAAGCTTTTGAAGTTTTGACAAATTGGGAGAAGAGTAGCTGAGAAAACCAACTAGGGTTGTTTACAGCCCTGTAACAAAGTCCTTTCTTCCTGCCATTATGCTTCCACACAGTATAAAACAAACCTCTGACCACTGGTGTCCTTGCCACAGCAAGCAGAAATCACACAGAACATTGAACCAAACTGGGATGAATCTTAACATGATCTAAGTGGCTTCCTTCAGTTAAAACCTTCACTCCTGTCACAGCCTTTTTATTTTATTATTTACTAAATATACAACTGAAGAAGAATAAAACATGGAGTGAATTATGATTATATTTTCAGGTKGTCAAACTCCTTGTTATGAAATTGACTTCCACTCACCTTTTCTTTGACATTCTCAAACGAGGAAGGWGAAACGACCGAAAAACAGACTAGGAAGACATCCGTCTGAGGGTAGCTTAGTGGTCGTAACCTGTCGTAATCCTCCTGACCTGTGGAGAGACGAGACAAAAATGTATTTACTGCGAACAGATGAACTGCCGGGCTCAGTTTAAGCTCGTTTTAYACAAGTATATTTAAGCTTCTTAAACTTTAAGAAGATCGACGTCTTTATAGGCTTGGCTTTAAGTTAAAGCCAAGAGACCATTGCTTATGCCAGTTGGCAATGGAGTAAGGGCCTTACAGTGGGCCGTGACACACCAGGAGGGGGTCTTAAGAAGATCTAGAGACCACTGGGTATCCCACTGGGCAGCAACTGTCAGCAAACATTTGTGACGAAGTCTCCAAAAAAGATTTGGAAATGTTTGTGAGGTTCTCAATRTCCTGGTGCCAGTTGCAGTAGCTTGCAATTTTGTCATTTGAAATTAGAGCAACAAACTTTCTCTCATAATAACTGCAGAGTGGTCCTGGAGACCTTGAACCTATCTCAGTTTAGTTTTTATAAATAGTGAGTGGCAGAGCTGTATTTTGACACCAGCACGGCAGCTTTCATGTGACAGAAAACATCCAAAGCTACGTCATAATAACAGTAATTTAAAAAGTGATCCAAATCTGCCAATTTTCAGTTGAAAAGTGTACACACGTAAATTAAATCAGAAATGTGGGGCAGGATGGGTACAAACTTGAGCCAAGGCAAGTACATTGTGGGCAGAAGTGAGTAATTAAATAAGGTGCACAGCCGAGATCACAGTTTTGAAAACTGTGCACACACACACACAATAAAAACACTTTTCAAAAATACAGGGCTCACTAGTTGCAAACACTTAGAATATTTGGAGTCGTCAACTAGACTCCAACGATCACAGCTCAGTAAAATATCAGCTTTACTCACACATACCAACCTTACTAATGACAGATATATATAATCTGTTTCATCTATTAGTCAAACACAGAAGACAATTTTCACAAATAACCAGAAATATTTAATTTAATGTAAATTTTAAAATAAATCATACCTGCTGTGTCAAATAAGCCAAGGGTGTACGGTTCACCCCCAATCATTACAGTTACTGCATAGTTGTCAAACACCTGCAATCAAAAGTTTAAAGGCATGTCATAATCAGTTTGAGAGTATTAATCAGTTTATTGTTTTTACAAACAATCGGATATAGGGCTTACTGTTGGTACGTATTCAGATGGGAACTTGTTGGTGGTGTAYGAAATCAGTAAGCAGGTTTTTCCCACGGCTCCATCACCCACCACCACACACTTGATGGTCTGCATCTCTGTGCCTTCTTGCTGCTGCTGGCAATTTCGATAGCTGCAGGAAGAGAGGGGGAGGTGATACCTTAAGGATTAGGCCATTTCAAAAACCACACTGATGCACAAACAAGGCGTCTGAACAGTGTCAGATGTGTGCTGGCTCGAAAAAACCCTCACATCAGCCCAATGGATCAGCTGGATCCCAGAAGAAAAATGGGTTTTATCACGTAAACTTGTCTTRTTCAGTCACACCCCATTATCAACAAAACTGTCTCGAGCTAACGATAGCGAATGACTAGGTTTCTCTTTTAAATAACATWAATGGATATAATTAGTAAAGAAAAAGGGTCAAGATCAATGACAAAACGTGACGCCGTTTATTTTAACTAAACACAAAAGGGCAGAAACGACCTATGTTTAGGTATCGTGTTACAAACTATGCTAATGCAGCATTAGCACAGCGCTAACCACTAAGTTAGCCTAGCCACCAGCCGGCTAACGATAGTTAGTCTTGTCAAACTCAACTTAGCCCGGAAGAAGGATAAAAATCAAACCWTGTTACTGAACAACTTCACTCACGAAAGTAGAGATTTGTTTAAASTACACACCTGTATCCAACCGTGGGCAAGTTAGTTGTTTGTTTCGCCGGGCGTTGGCACCAGCAGGGACAAACTTGGTTCAGAGAGGAGCCGAGTCCTGACTTCTTGCACACTAGCTTCACCAACACCGGAAGTTCTTTCAAAATAAAACACCCCCTTCTCGTTATTAAACATAACCCACTTCTGTTACACAAGATAGAATGAGTGATTCAYGTGTTTCTACAGTAACACACACATATATAGTTCTTTATCATAACTATTTGGGCTCATGTGTACTTTTTAGATCACAATCTGAAAATAATTATTCTTTTGGTTTTATACTAAAAGTCATTTTCCCATGTGATGTTTGCTGCCTTTATATTATTTTCTGAGTGCTTCCAAGTGCTTCATGCAGCAGGAGTGGTGATGTCACCTCAAATCTCTCATCTTGTATCCTAATCTAAATAAAGAAAAAGAAAAAAAACTATACGCCTCTGTATTTAGATTTGGAAATAAAAACAAGATGTGTAAAATTAGTGTAAACAATTTCAAGTGGATACACTAAAATAGCAGTTGTGAGACATTAGTAGTGATTGCTTGCTGTTACTTTTTTTTAGACTCAGCTTAAGTGACAGCAAAACAACATATGTTGAATTAAAAATTCAGTCAAACACAGGTGGTTGCAGGAAATGCATTTGAGAAGCTGAAGTGTAGGCACAGATTTCTTAAAAATTAGGAAAAAATGTACTTGCAGTGGAAACTGAGCCTGTGGTGGCAGTAGCAAGACATGATTATGACAAACCTTTTTTTTTTTTAGATTTTGTAACCTGCCATAACAATTATTTGGACAAACACAACGGTCAGTCAACAGACCACTCAGGCTTATCAACAAACCAATAATGACAAAAATGGAGTTCAAAAAATAAAATTGTGGTCATAAAATAAAAACATTCTAAATGTTCAGTGTAAATGTTTCAAATAAAAAAAAACTATAAAAATTGATAAATTGCAAATGAATGAATGAATGTTTCAGTAAACCGTATTATTGTTTTTGATTTCTTCTTGGATTCTACCATTTACCATCATGGATGAAAATTTGCAATTTATCAATTTCATTTTTTTGAACTTTTGCATGGTACAACCAGAAGCTGCTCTTCATTTTTAGTGACACACTTTGG